CAAGAACGATTTGAGCCAGTCTATTCTTTGGCTCTACATTTGTGAGTTGATAATATCACTATTTTCATTAACCAGACTCCTAACCAAATATACTTCACCATTGGATTATTTCTCTCTTTTCCCTCCCCATTTCTGTTTTTTATACATGTGCTGAGTTGTATTACGAAATACCCCTAACAGTAGGGGTAAGTATATACTATTATTTCTAGCGCTCCACTTTGGGGATTTTTAGGTGGTTGGTATTCTTGTTAACCTTCCTTCTAAGCTCCCTACTTTTAACATTTAGTATTCTAACATTAGCATATTCTAGCATAATTTATAACTGATGATGGCATATAACTATGAATTGAATCCCAGTTCCAGCGTGTCCGGGGTTCCAGATGCCCTCTAGTCATCTGGGCCCCTGCCACGTGGAACTGTGTCAGTAGGTTAAACATTAAACAGTAAATATATAAAGATATGTAGATATAGACATGGCATTAAATAGGCGGTAAATATGGCAAACCCTCTGTATGTTTAGCAGATTAAAAGGATATATTGAGTCTTTTAGGTTGGTTTGGTAGCAGTGACTTTTGGTGTTGAGGGCAGTTCATTTCCCGAGGGGGTTCGTCTCCTTCGCTTTTTGGGGGTGCGTTGCCATTTGGCCCTTTGGGGTAGTTGCTTGTCTTGTTCCATGTAGAGACCAGTCCAGTCTTCCACCGTGTCTGTGGGTATGCCTAAGGCTTGTTGAAACGTCGGGATGTCTGCTGGTGTAGAGATTGAATGTGTCTTCCCTTGGCGGTTCACCACTAGAACAAAAGGGTATGCCCAGCGGAATCGTATGTTGCGGTCTGAGAGCGCCTTCGTGATCGGACGCAGTGCTCTTCTCGCGATAAGTGTAGATTGCGCCAGGTCTTGAAATATCTGCACTTTACAGTTGCCAAATGTAATGTTGCTAAGTTGTTTGGCCTTTTACAGGATTGTCTCTTTTAGGGGGAAATGGTGAAGCCTGCAGATAATGTCCCTTGGTTTCTTATTAGTCAGTGCTCTCGGCCTGATCGCTCTGTGAGCGCGGTCAAATTTGATGGGTGTATCTAGCAGCCTGCGGTCGGCAACTTACCTACAGCAAACTCTCAGCCTGGGAGGTAAATTGCCTGCACGCTTCCACTTCTGGGTGGTCCGCCTGTGTAGTAACTGGTTTGGTAAGCCCCAATTACCGAACCATAAGGGAAAAAGCCATGTAAAAGTTATTTCCATAGTCTGGGGACTCTGGGAACACAGATTTAAAGGGGCATTGTTCCAATTTTCACCATGTCCCAAAAATGTACTTAAAGGGCCAGCACCAGTCCAATGAAAGTCGATATGCCCCAATAATGTTTTTAAAGGATCATACACCCCCGGGCCATAGTTGCAGGGCAGGAGGCTGGTAAGCAAGCCTCTCCAGGACCAAGTGGCAAAGGGCACTTCATCACAATCCCGTGGCTTACATCAGTCAGAAGCTGTTACCCAGAGAAGTAAGCTACGCCGCAATTGAGAAGGAATGCCTGGCTGTGGTGTGGGCCCTGAAAAAGTTACAAGCCTACTTGTATGGACAGCCCTTTTTTTTGCTCAAGGATCACAACCCGTTGGTCTGGCTAAACCAGGTGGCTGGGGACAATGCCCGGCTGCTGCGCTGGAGTTTGGCGCTGCAGCCATTTGACTTCAACATCCAGTACCACCCGGGAAAACAAAACGGAAATGCTGACAGGTTGTCTAGACAAACTGACTTGGAAAAATTATCCGTTAGCAACCCCGGACATCCCCAAGCTGATCCATGATGGATCAGACTGTGTGTGTTGGCTTGTGGGCAGGGGGGAGCAGTGTAGCGGATTACGTTTTGCTGTCCATAACATTTATGGTTAGCAAGGGTCCAATGTCTGTCTGAACAAGTGTGTTTCGAATATTCTGGGGTCTTTTACATGAAAATAATGGGGTAGATTGAAATTCCAAAATATTAGGAAAGGATCTCCTAAGGATTCCCCAATGGGTGATATTAGCCACTCTCTTACTATTTAAGTTGTATGTAGATACAAAAGGTATTCGATTGGATTATTGGATGCTTTCTACTTGAGTCCCTCTCCAAGAAGTGTAACTAAATACCCATGACTTAGGAACCTTTTGCTCATCTCAGAGAGTCTCTGCTGTCAAATTAATGGGTCTGATACATTTATTGCTACTCTAATAAATTGACTACGTGGGAGGGCACGAATGGTCTGTGGTGGGTGAAAACTAGTAAATTCTAATAGGCTATTCCTATCAGTAGGTTTGAAATAAAGATCAGTAAGAAAATGAAATAGTAACCAGGAATTGAATGGTAATATCGTCACAAATTGCATTCATATTTCGATGAAATAAATCCATTTCTTCCCTGGTGCTGCACCATACGCCAAACACATCATCGATTAATTTCCATCAGACACGTGCTTGAGCCATGAATAAATCATGTGCATATACATGTCTGGTTTCGAAATAGGTTGGCATATGATGGGGCCATATTCAAACCCATAGTGGTGCCCCTGAGTTGTCTGTAGTAATTATCTCCAAACAGAAAATAGTTTCTATGCAAAAACAAGTTCAAAATTGACATAAAAAAAGTCGACCTGTTGGTTAGCATATTGGCTAGTACTAAGAACCTCACAAATGGTCCTATACCTGTCTCATTGGGGATAGAGGTGTAGAGACTTACTATATCCCATGTAAATAATATACAGGGGGTATTAATTTTAAGAGTGTTCAGTCTCCGAAGGACATCACTGCTGCCCAATATATAAGATCTGGCTTTACTGACAAAAGGCTGTAGGATTCTGTCCAGGAAGACCGAAAGTGGCTGCAGTGCAGAGTCAGTGCTTGCCACTATCGGTCTACCCGGAGGATCTACCAGCCTCTTGTGTAGCTTAGGTAATATGCAAAAGGTAGGCATGATCGGATGCTCTTTTATCAAAAATAATTTTAAAGATTGATCAATAACTCCATTACAGGCTGCTTCTTCAATAATTAAATTAATTTCTCTAATAAGGGAGGGTGTATGGTCCCTGGGGCAGACTTCATAGGTATTTACATCTCTCAATTGGCGTTCAACCTCCCTGATGTAATCTGTTCTATTCATGACAACCACGGCATGATAAGATCATAAT